GCTGCCTTTGCTGAAGCTTCTGCTGCGCAATCGCTGCAGTCCCAGCCCTGCAGCAGCAGCAGCAGCAGCAACGACAACAGCAGCAGCAACAGCAGCAGCGGCAGCAGAGCCTGCGCAACTCCACTGATACCCTCTCTTATATAATATATAATAAATTACTATCATCACAAAGCCGCGTGCGTGAGCCTTGCAACCGATTACTGAGGCCCCTTGGCTTGGGGGGCCCCCAAGGGGGGCCCCCCAAGCCAACGGGCCTCAGGGGGGCCCCCCTGGGGCCCCCAGCGAATCGACTTTTGCTGCCCGTTGTTTCTTGTTGCCTTTTATTCATTGATGATGAAGGGAAAGGAGTTTAATCTATTTATTAAATGTCATAATATAATAAAAGGAGAGGGAGAAGGAGAATAGAGAAAGAGCGCAGCAAATAGAAGAAGAAGGGACTGTCAGGAGGAGACACAAAATAACCAAACCCTAAAACCCTAAACCCTAAACCCTTTTTACTAGGGCTGGGAGCGAACTACATGCAACGCTGATGAATCAAAGCAAACAAAAACAAACACAAAAAGAAGAAATTGTTATAAAGACAAGACAAAGAAAAAAAAAGAAGTGTAACAAACAAACAAACAAACAAACAAACGAATGAAGGATTATACAGCTAGCCGTCCATCCCCAGCCGTCTACAGCTAGCTGTTCATAGCTAGCTGTGTGCAACTAGCTGTTCGCAGCTTCATGGCTAGCTGTTCAACGCTAGCTGCCTACAGCTATCTCTCCCCACCCAGCTACCTACAGCTAGCTGTTCATAGCTAGCTGCCTACAGCTACCTCTCCCCAACCAGCTGCCTACAGCTAGCAGTTCATAGCTAGCAGCAAGCAGCTAGCTGTTCATTGCTTCATAGCTAGCTGTTTATAGCTGGCGTGCAACCCCTCGCAATCCCCTACTTACATCACCTGGGGCCCTAGCGGCTCTGGCAGGCCCCGAGCTAGCTGCAGCGAGCCAAGCATTGAGGAGCTCAACTAGCTGCAGCTAGCCAGGCATTGCGGTGCGTAGCTAGCTGCAGCTAGCCAAGTGTTCTACACCGTAGCTAGCAACAACAGCAGCTAAAGTGCTGCAGCAATCTGTCTCTTGTGCAGCGCCAGCTGCAGCAGCGGTGTATAGCCCCTGTGTCTCTCATTCTGTCTCTTTCTCTCTCTATGTCTCTGTTTCTCTTTCTGTCTCTGTTTCTCCTTCTGTTTCTGTCTCTCTCTGTTTCTGTATCTCTCTCTGTCCCTCTCTCTATCCC